AGTCAGCCAAAGAATAAGGATCATCATCATCATCATCATCTTCCACCATATTCACAACTTCACTTACACTTGGAAGTTTCTCATTTGAATGATAAAGTGTGACATAATGGCTATGCAAACTACTCAAACAACTCTTAACCTTGTCTACCATATCTTTCACCTTCTTATTATCTTCAAGAAATAAATTAGAAAAACAAAACTCAAAGTATGCCATTTTTTTGGTAGGATCAAGAACCGCCGCAACATACAATAACAAATTGATCTTATTTTCATCCCCCCAATACTTACTAAACTTTTGTTTCATAGTCTTTGCCATTGTGCTCAAAGTATCATCCTCCTTCAACATTAATTGGTTAATTTTGCTTTCAATAAAAAACATTTCTTTAGAAAAAGCATTGGAAGTAACAAAGAGAGACCCCAAAAATTTCTTAGTTGCAAGATAAAATAATTTTACAAACCTCAAAAAAAATTCTACATTTTTTCTAATCCAACTCATTCGGACTTCTCCTTATGCCACCATCAACATCCTTGAAATAAGGTTCAAAGTTGGAATCCACAAACTTCAATCGGTTAAAAGTCTTCTCATACTTTTCGGCGGCCTCTAATATCAAATAGGTAAAGTTCCACCTAGTTGGTACATCTAGGCATACAAGAGCTTTTGAATCAAGTTTGAGTGTGGCCGCACACTTCTCAAAAACATCATGCCTATGATAAAAAGACCTCACATATCTCACCATAAGTCTAATGTTGGCAATAGAATCGTTCATTTGTTTCAACCCATTACTCACAACGAGATTAAGAATATATGCACAACAACACATATGAATAAACTCATGTTGCAAAATAGTCCCCTTCCAATCTTTGGTTATCGTTTTCAAATATTGAATGGTAAGATTATTAGAACTAACATTATCAACTGTTAAGGTGAATATGTTATCAATGTTCCACTCAATCAAACACGACTCAATTTTTGGACCCAATGTTTCTCCTTTGTGATCCTCAACTTGTTAAAAATTTATGATTCTTTTTTGAAGTTTCCTGTTATCATCAATGAAATGAGCAGTCAAACACATGTAATACAAATTCTGAATAGATGTCCAAGTGTCCGTAGTAAAACAAATTCTACGATCTTTCATGGCCTTCTTTAACTTATTTCTTTCATTCTTGAATATGTTAAGCACTTCTCTAGATATGGTTTGACGAGAGGGAATTGGTGTGAATTTGGGTTGCATGACATTACAAAATCTTCTAAACCCAACACCCTCCACAAATCTAAATGGCAACTCATCAATGACCACCATCTCCGTAAGAGCCCTTTTATAAGTATCAAAATTAAAAATTGTTGCTACAACCTCAGCACCCTCTTCATTTTGTTTCAGTTTAAGATTTAATGTTTGTTGACCATCTGTATCCCTATTTGGATATTCTTTACAATTGGATGTATGGCTCCTCAAATTGCTAGTCCCATGAAGTCTAGAGTCAGCCATATACTCTTTCTTGCAATATTTACACACAGCTCTACACTTCCCATCGGTCTCTATAACCTTGTCAAAATGATCCTAAACTGTAGATGGTGCTCTCCCTCCTCCACCCTCACTCTCTCTCTTTTGAGGTCTAGAAGGCTTAGGTTCAAGTTCAGGTTCGGGTTCAACTAAAGGAGGATTCATTTGAGAATTGGAGGATTCCGGAGGTACAAGATTGATTGTGGAAGATTGAACACTATCCTCCATTTAAATTGGATTACAAAAATTACAAATTCAATTTCAATAACATAACAGATTCAATACAACCATAGATTCAATTTTAATTTTAATAACAGATTCAATTCAATACAAATTCAACACAATCATAGATTCAATTTTAATTTTAATAGCAGATTGAATTCTATACAGATTCAATTCTAGTTTCAATAACAGATTCAATTATATACAGATTCAATTCCAATTTCAATAACAGATTCAATTTCCACTTCTCACAGATCTGTTAGAGCATTGTAAAAGCACAAATTCAATTCCAAAAGCACAGATTCAATTTCCAACAAAAAAAAAAAGAGAGAGATCTGTTTACATAAACACAGATTCAATTTTCACTTCTCACAAATCTGTTGCTACCAAAAAAATCAAATATAATTCCAAACAAACACACAGATTCAATTTCCAATTCTCATAGATTCAACAACAAATTTAATTCCAATACTACAGATTTAATTCCAAAAACACAGACTCAATTCCAAAAAAAAAAAAAAGAGACAGATCTGTTTGCACATAAACACAGATTCCATTTCCACTTTTTCACAGATATGTTGCTACAAAAAAAAAATCAGATTTAATTCCAAACAAACACATATATTCAGTTTCCACTTCTTACAGACAGATCTATTGCTACAAAAAAAAATTAATAGATCTGATTGCATAAAATAAACAGATCTAATAAGATGAAAGAGTGAGGGAGACAGATAAGAGAGAGAGGTCTGATATGTTACAAAATAAATCAAAGATCGGGGCGAGAGAGAAATAGAGAGACAGAGAGAGAGGTTTACTTGTGAGGTCGATCGGTGCGATGAGAGAGTCAGCCGATCAGTCGATCTTGCGATAAGAGAGTCGATCGATGCAAATGCAAAACTAGAGAGTGAGAGACTGTGAGATGAAAGAGTGAGGGAGACAAATCAGAGAGAGAGAGCTCTGATATGTTGGAAAAAAAAATCGAAGATTGAGAAAAGAGAGACAGAGACTGAGACTGAGAGAGGGGCTTACCTGTGAGATCGATCGATGTGATGAGGTCGATCGGTCGATCTTGCGACGAGAGAGAAAGTCGATCAGTGGGTGCAGTGTAGATGAAAATCGCGAGAGTGAGAGTGAGAGTAAGAGTGAGAGTGAGAGACAGACTGAGAGAGAGAGAGAGAGTTCGTGTTTTGTTTTGGAGCTCAAGATGAGAGATATTAAGATTAGGGTTTTTTTTTTGAATGGTCAGATTTGAAGGGAAAAAAAAAAAAAAAAAGGTTTATGCGGCCGGGTTGGGCCGGTGCGGTTCAAACCCGCAACCCGTCCGCAACCCGAAAATTAGATAAAATCCAAACCGCACCCTACCCTAATGTGTTTACAAAACCGCCCATACGTGCGCGGTTCGAATCGGGTATGGCGGTTTGGGCAGGTCGGATAACCCTACGCCCAGCCCTAATTTTAATCCTATTCAATCAATGTTCTTTCAAACCATTTGTAATAAAATCGAATTTAAACAAATATAATCAGTTCAGAAAATTTTATCATCTCTAACTTGGATTTTCTTAAATTGGCAATTTAATTTGAGAGAGCATTTGAGTTTGGTAAATTCAATTTAGAGATGATCTTGGTAATTTGAATTATTTATTTTTTAAAACTCATTGATTAAAAAATTCATATAAAAATTAAGATGATCAAATATTTATATATATATATATATATATTTAAATCACATTTGTTTAAAAAATTTGACGACATTATAATTTCAAGAATAACATCAATTTTTTGTAATACAAATGTAATTTAAATATATCGTTACCGATATCTAATCATTTTAATTATTTATATGAATATTTTATTAATTGAGTATTAAAAAGTAAATGGTTCGAATCACAGAAGTTGGCACAAAATAGGTTCACCAAGTATAACCGTTCTTTTAAATTGAGATGACTTTTATAACTCAAAAAATGAGAATATGAATCAAAATTACAAATAATATAATATATTATAGATAATAATTTAGGGTAATTCTATGATATATACTTCTTTCGGGTGTATCATATACCCCAGTTATGACTTTTATTGTTATTGGTTATGACATATTGTTATGTTAATTATGACTTAATTATAAATTATTGTGGTGTTAGTTTAGACATTATTTTAGTTATGATTCAAAAGGTTTTATGCTATACCTCGTGTAGTGTTTGGTTTTGATATTTTTTTTATTTATATTTATGACTAAAAATGATTTAATAATGACATTTGTAATAATTAAAATCACAAATGTCGTAACTTGTATATGATACAGGGTGTTGTGATTAGTAGAGAGAGTTAAAACACATGATTTTGTGTTGGGTGATTAGAGAATATAAGGGGGCATAATGTATAATAATTAGTGAAAAGTATAAACACATAGCCCTTCAAGATCACCAAATAATTTTTCATAGCTGACCCAATAATTTATTATTAATGAAAGTTAAAAGATATAAGATGGGGGAAAAAAATGAATGTTTAATGTAATATTTTAATGAATTAATCTTATTATATTGAGAAAAAAAATAAAGAATATATATGATATACATATAAGTATATTTATTAAATATAATTGTGGTGGGGTGAGTTTGAATGGGGCAAAGGGAAACAAAACTGAACACCAATAAGGGGTGTAAATTTGGCCTCCACCCGAAGCCAGCCAGCGGCTCGAGTAGGCCTAGCCCGGCTAGGCCTAAGTCCGAGTCCAACCCGAGACCTTGGGCCTAGGCCGTGTGTTTTAGAACTTGGCCCCAATCGGAAAATTTTCCCCCTACCTAGCTCGACCCAACTCGACCCGACCCGACCCCACTAGCCCCCTAACGGCTCTCTCCTCCAATAGTCAAAAATTTGAAAATTTTCAAATGATCAAAAATTTAATCGTTACTCGTACAACGAAAATTTTTTTTTTTTTTTAATAATTTAACCCCTCCTCCTCCCAAGTCCTATAAATACCACCTCTCTCCCTTTTTATTTCTCACAAACAAATCTCTCTCAAACTCTCAACTCTCTCAATTAATTTTGAAGTCTCATCCCTAAGTGTCAATTGCAATTGTGCAAGAAGAATCTTTTATCAAAAGAAATTAATTTTTGTATCGCATTCGCCAGTCGGTAACATTAATTATTTGAATTAATATTTATTAGTTACTTGTTTTTTTATATTAATTATTTCTTAACATATATTACTTGTTATTGTTTACTCACTATTTTAATTAATTGTTAGTTAATATACATTATTTTACTTACATTGTTATGAATCCTAATATTCCTAATGTTCATGTCGATATTGATGTATATACACAACATGAATATGTTGATTCTCCTTCTACTGTACCTAATATCCCTCTTCAAACAGTAGCAGCATCATTTAGAGGCATGACTAGTACTGTTTGGGAGCATTTTGAAAAAGTATCTTAAATAATCTTGATGGTACAACTATGATTAAAGCAAAATGTAAATATTGTGCACATTTACTCAGTGCTATAATTGCAAGGAGTACTAGTCATCTAAAAAGGCATGCTAACAAATATTTACAGAGTTAACAAACTGATATTAGAACTCAAATGCAATTATGAGGTTTATCAACTGGTAATTTGCAAACATTTTCATATAATCCTATATGTGTACAAAATTCTATAGTTGATTATATTATTGAAGAAGAACAACATTTTACTACTAGTGAATGTCCTGATTTTTTAGAAATGATTCACACTGGTTTTGCACCGTAATATCAACAAAACGATTCTGATTTAGACTCGACATGTTTATTGTTTTGGATCCAGACTCCTTGCTTTACCTAGTTGTTTATATCTTTGTCCATCTTATTCCTTTTTAAATTGGGTTATTTGAGTATTGTGGTTGCGTTTGAAGTAGATTGGGAGTTCGTTTTTCAAATGAGTCTTTGCCTAAGTTTTAGTCAATTCGCTCAAGCAGTCTTTGAAAACTTTTAGTACTTTTGCAGGCCTACAAAAGTATTGAAAGGATGTTTTTCTCACTCGAGCAGTGTTTTTTGCACTCGAGCGGTGCTTCTTGCGCTTGAACAGTCTTTGAGAACCCTCAGTACTTTTGCAGGTTAGCAAAAGTACTAGGAGAGTGTTTTTTTTTTTGCTCGAGCAGTACTTCTTACGCTCAAGTGGTCTTGACTCGAGCAGTCCTTCTTGCACTCGACCAGTTAGCCTTTGTTTATAAAACTTCTGAGAGTATGTCATTGTGTGGTCGAGCAATAACTTTGTTCGCTCAAGTGCTCTCACTTATTGTATCTGGTCACTCGAGCGGTGTTTTGGTCACTCGAGTGGTCTGAGAGTATATCAGTTTGTAGCAACCACTTTTTGAGTCACTTTTTCATATATCGCTCTCTCTAAAACATTTCAAAACCTTAAATCTAGACCTTTTCTCTAAAACTCATCTTTAACCTCCAGATACTCTAAATCTATTGACCTCTACACCCTAGTCCCTTTGATAAAAAGGTAACAGCTCACCTATAACTTCGTTTTAATCGAAACAAAGTTAGTTTTCGACTTCGTTGAGGTTCCTTCACATTCTCTCTTGCCTTCTAGCGTCGAGGTAGGGATTTCTCCACACTTTTGTATGGTTTTTAATTTAGTTATTTGATTTTCTAAACAATGTTGCGATTTGGGAATTGTAGACAAAAATCTAGGGTTTTGGTTTAAAATTCAAAAGAGAGATTTTCAAAAGGTTTCTTGAATATGATTGTGGATTTGTAAATATGGTTGAGTTGTGATAAAATGGTGGATTTTTTATCCTTGGAATTGTTTTTTTTAAAGAAATGGAATTTTGCCCTAAAATGTGAATATTTTATTTTGTAAAAAGGAAATGGAAATGATGTTGAGTTTTATGAAATTGGAATGATGATGATGATGGTGGTGGAGTTGGATATGTATTCCCATCTTGAAATTTTGGAAAGTTTATCTTTATTGGAAATTATCTATTTGTTTAGAGATATATGTTTTGGGCTATCGGTGGAGGATAACTATGATTGTTGTAGAAATTGCATGAGAATTAGGAGAATTGAAACTAATTTTTTATCCATTTGCATTGAGCATTGATGCACATTTGACACATTGAAAATGTATATTGTTTTGAGAAAAATGGATGAATACCTTGGTAAATCTGGGTAGGGAGTGTGGTTGTGGTATTATTGTTGGCATATGTGTCCTTGGTGAAAGTCTAGAAACTCACTCGGTTAGGTGTCGATCCTTCCAGTTAGTACTGGTAAAAATGGCAATTGGTAGTGCTTGTATAGCCTACTTGCAGACATGTACCTAGAGATCTCCAGAGTTGTATTCACTGCTATATTTTCTATTGTAACAGAAATCATTTCATGAATTGTGACATAAACTTGGCATTACATGACTTTCAAAACAAATATTGAATGTTTTGGCACGAGCATTGCATATGCATTTACCTTATAACTTTGTTACGATTCATACACTGTGTTAGAGTATTTCTATTGAGCTTAGGCTCACCTTATATGGAAAACCATTTTCAAGTGCTAATGATATGCATCCGCAAAGGTTGTAGCTTGGGAGGACTTGGAGCCAAGAGCTTCTCTTTTTGTTATTGTTGTATTTATTTTATACAAACCTAGGACTTTATTTGTTTTGAGTTTAAACTCACTTTTGTTGTAACCAAGTACCGTCTTGGAAAGTTGTAGCCTTTAAGGCATTTAATTATCTGTCCAACTTTCGATTCATATCTTTTGCTTATGGCACATACTATAGATTAAGGGTTAGAACTTATAAATGTATAAGTGCATGTGTTGCAGTTTGTACAATTGAATCTTATGAATGGAATGATACTTTATTTCAGAATGTACTGTTGCTTGATAATTATCGTGAGATGGTACTAGAAACAGGATTTTAAAGAAAACTTGAGAATATTAAATTTGAATTATTTGACATTTTTAAAAATTTGAATGGAAGAGTTTGTTTAACATCTGATCTGTGGTCAAATAATAGTTTAGAATATCAATGTATCACTACACATTTTATTAATAATGATTGGAAATTAAATAAAAGAATCATTTCATCTAGATTAGTTGAACTTCCATATACTAGTCATTCACTTGGAGTAGAAATTAGAAATATATTATATGAGTGGGCTTTGCAAAATAAAATATTTACCATTAGTTTAGATAATACAACATGTTACAATCAGACTATAACGTATTTAAAATCAACTTTACAACTACTTATTGATGGTGACTTATTTCATGTTCATTGTTGTGCTCATGTTTTAAACTTGATTGTTAAAGAAACTATACGTGCATATGAGACTTCTGTACTAGTAATAAAAAATACGGTTGTTACTATTATGTCTTCTACTAATCGAATTTCAGAATATAGAAAAATTTGTCAACGAGAAGGTATGCCATTTACAAAATTAATTTTAGATATAGACAGTAGGTGGATTTCAATGTATAATATGTGAAAGAGAGTTTGTAAATAAAGAAAAGTAATAGATTTACTTTTTGTAACAATATCAATAATAGGAGTACTAACTCCCACATAACTTATTTGACATCAAGTAGCCTTATATAAAGATCTAAAAGTTTTTGATACTGCAACCAAATTATTTTCCTATATATATAATTTCCTACCTCACCATTTGTTTTACATATGTTAGCAAAAATAATAAAAATTTTTACAAAATATATGGGTAATGAATATTATATAACCGTTATTATTGTAATGAAAGAAAAAACTAATAAATATTTTAATCCATTACCTCATCTTTTAGGTTTAGTCGTCGTAATTGATCATAGGTGTAAAGAAATTGCTTTACAAGAATTTTTAGATCATATTTTTTCTGATCAAGAACAACTTGTCCCTATTATGAAAACATGCAAAAAATTATTTGAAGAATATAAGGAAGTTGTATTTGCAAATACACCTACACACACTATACCAGCCTCATCTCGAGGTGGAAGATTATGTGTTTTTTCAACAATAAAAAGTAGAAGAATATCTCAACATACAAATATAAGTAATTATGAATTACAACGTTATTTAGATAGCCCACCAGTGGTAGATTGCGGTGATTTTGAAATTTGGATTGGTGGAAACAAAATGAACCTATGTAGCCTATATTTTCACAAATGGCCCGTGATATACCAATCGTTCATATTTCTATAATTGCTTTTGAAACAGCTTTTAGTGTAGGTAAACAAGTACTAAGCTATTACCGCAGCCGACTTTCACCCTAAATGATTGAGGCATTTATGATATCGAAAGATTATATACATGAGCTTACGAGAAGGCAAAATTATAGTGAAAATGAGAGAATTCAAAGTGATTTGGATGATATAACTTCGGGCCATACGAGTGAATTGTCTGTCTTCTCCGGTAATCGATCAACAATTTTTTTTTTCACTATTTCATTTTGTAATTTTTTTATTAGATTATTGAAGTGGAGTATGATGCAAATAATTGATAGGTTAGTAGGTGCCAACCTAATTAGGATGTATTTGACCTAGCTTAGTTTAGTTTACTTTGTTTAGTGGCATCCTGTCGCTAGTTGTGATGCACTTGACCTATAGTGATGTAATTTCTCTACCATCATCAATAATCTATATCTATTTTATTTAATGATATAAAATTTTGTAATATTTTATTTTGAAATAAAAAATTTTCATTAAATGTTATCTATTTAATTTAATGATTGTAATATTTTGTTTCATTTTGATATATATAAAATTATTCATTTAATTGTTTTGAGAAAAAATTATGTACGCAGCTTAAAACTAAATAAGAAAGTAATATAATTTCATATTTTTTGAGTCATAACTACAAAACATAACATTAACCAAATATCTCATTAACCATAACTAAAATAATGTCATAATTAAAAAAGAAAATTAGTTATAACTAACATACAAAATGACATAACTTGATACCTAGTTATAACTATAAAAAAATAAATAAATAAATAGCTCTCATGAATCATAATAACTAATATAATGTCATAACAAAAGAATATATAATTTCATACTTTTTTTGGCATAATCAAAAAAACATAAATCATACATAATTAACTACCACTACATGAAATATAACCAAACATCTCATTAATCTTAACTAAAATATTTTAGTACAATTTTTTTTTTGTATTTTTTATCCCTCATAAATAATCTATATATATTATGTCTATCTTTCGCCAAAAAAAGTTATAACTAACATACAAAATGACATAACTTGATACCTAGTTATAACTATAAAAAAAATAAATAAATAAATAGCTCTCATGAATCATAATAACTAATATAATGTCATAACAAAAGAATATATAATTTCATACTTTTTTTGGCATAATCAAAAAAACATAAATCATACGTAATTAACTACCACTACATGAAATATAACCAAACATCTCATTAATCTTAACTAAAATATTCTAGTACAATTTTTTTTTTGTATTTTTTATCCCTCATAAATAATCTATATATATTATGTCTATCTTTCACAAAAAAAAAAAAGGCCCGCCTGGCCTACGGCCCTATTTTGAGTGGGTTTGAGCTAACTTTTAATCACGTTGGCCGGTCCAATCCGACCTAAATTTCGGTGGGAGCCCATTAGGCCTGTTAGTGGGCTGGTTCAGCCTGGGCCCCGGTGGACCAGATCAAAATTATATCCCAATTACTAATCTACTTTTTCAGCGGGGCAAGTAAGATTCCTGAAGACCGAGACGAAGGATGCAAGGGTGGAGTAATTGACATGAGCTAAAACAATTATAAATTCAACATATAGTACTAATTTTAGCAATTGTCCCATTTTCTTCCCCAGATTTAGTAAAATAGCAACCGGATTTGCGAGAGAGATGATGTTTGATAATGATGTTCCTTTGTGTTGATTTGAAGACTGATAATTAATGTTTGACGGTGGTTTTGAGATGTTGCGATGGTGACAACAAGAATGCAGAGTGATGAATGATGTACTGTTTGGTTGTTAGGCCAACTTCAATAGTTACTCAAACTTATCATTAAAATTTAAATTTGGGCAAAAATGGTGTCTTTTTTAGCCTTAACGGTTTCATTAAATAGGTATCAAATTGAGAATATCAAAAATATTTTACCAAATAAAAGATGTCTGGGAGATTTCAGCATTTCACTATTTGGAGTTTGTTGTTTTGTAGAACCAGGCGTCTGGCCAGATATCCCCTCGGTCATTTGATTAGTTGAAAAATTTCCACAACAAAGCATACTCTCAAACAACCGGAATCGATGGATTACACTTGCTAGTCGACCATCCAGACTTCTGCTTGGTCGACCGGTGTGTTGATGACAACCAAAAATGCTCCATTGGAGCGTTGCATATCAGATAGAGTTTTTACTTAAATTTTTATTCAAATTTCGTGAAATAAATATAGATTGTTAAAGAAGCTCTTAGTGATGAATGGTGTTGACTTTTGGGCTAAAAGAATTAAAATATTAAATCACATTACTTTTTATTTTTTTAAAATATTTTTTAAAAAATTATAAAAAAAATTAAAATAATCACTTTTCAAACACTTTCTAAAAAGGAAATGAATTTTCAATAGTGGTAGTATGTTGGTGGAGGGGGCGGTGGAAGGAAATATGAGATGAAGTGATGAGTTATGGGTCAGTGGCCCTTTGGTAGAATTTCTTTTAAGTTAAAATCTAATAATCAAAAAATAAAAGTTAAAAGTATTTATTTTTTAGTTTCTAAATAATTAGTTTTTTTAGTTTATTTAAGTTATTTCTTCCTAATAAGTTATAAGTAAAAATTACACTAAATAATTTAATACAAACTCCCAAATTAAAATAAAGTATAATCACCTCTTAGGAATCTATACCAAATATGGTAGGCTGCTAATGGCATTTTTTATCCAATTTCGCATAGATGTTCCTAGTGGAGTAAATTAGGAAAAGTTACAAACATCAAGCTCTTAGGAATCTATACCAAATATGGTAGGCTGCTAATGGCATTTTTCATCCGATTTCGGATAGATGTTCCTAGTGGAGTAAATTGGGAAAAGTTACAAACATCAAGGATTAAAGTAGGAAAATAAGTTTGATCCACCTAATAAAACATTAAAATTTAGAAAAAAGAAATGGCGATAAATCCAATCTGAGTATTGTTTTGAGGTGTTGGGTTCGATGGGTAACTTCAATTTTTTTTTTTTTTTTAAAGTAGTCTACTCTTTGTAAAATATTGTTGTGAGAAGTACGTTTTGTTGTTTTAGAGAATATTTTGTTTTCAATTTATCGCATTTAATTTTTTATTTTAACCTATCTATTCAAATCTTTTTTTTTTTGGTTCAATTTTTTGAACCTATCTATTTAAATTTGTATTTACTTATGAAAATTATTTTAATATTTTTTAATCTATTTGTTAAAATTCACCGTGCCTTATTTCTCCTATCTATTGAAATTCACCGAGCCTATTTTTTTTATCTATTGAACCCATCTGTTCAATTTTTTTAATTTGTTCAAATTTTTATTTTTCACGACTATTTCTCTCTTTTCCTAGCTCACTACCGCCCCTCTATCCCTTTCAGATTCCATAGTTGCTGCCACCATTCAATATTATCGAAAAAAGTGACTTAAATTGTCTAAAATGTCATTGTTTCGTTTATTACAACTATGATTAATTACACTTTTCACCCTTATAGTTTGAGTCAAATTTACTTTAGTTCCTATTGTTAGGTTTTTATTCTTGACAACTCCGTTTGACAAAACTCATTTAAGTTGTATTTGTTTTTGCACTTTTTATTTCAGTGAGGCTATGAGTGTTTAGATACGAATCCAACCCGAATTGTGCCTTGCAGAGAAGTTTGTGATGTTAATACTTTCAAGATTGCCACTTCGCTGATTATGACGGGGATCGAGCTTCCCGGTCAGCTCGCAGGGGTCGAGGGGGCAGCGCCCCTTGGCGGGTCTGGAGCAGCGCCACGGCGGGGTCGAGGGGCTGCGCCCCCGAAGCAAAATGCAAAAATGCATTTAAAGTTGCCTCCCCGCTCGAGCTGAGAATGCTGAGTTTCAGAAGTTTAGTGAGTCTGCAAATATACTGTGATCCATGTTTTTACGCTCGAGCGTCCATTTCCCCGCTCGAGCGTACACCCTAGTGCGGAACACGTCATATAGAGTCTCCGCTCGAGCGTTAATTCCCACGCTCAAGCGGACCTCGCAATTTCAAATTCTATAAATTTGCAAGTTGCTCCAAATCTAGGATTACTTCTCCAGATCTTTTTCTTGGGTTCTAGGGTTTATATCTGGGGATATTTTGCTAGTTTTCTTTGATGTTTTGATTGAGTATTCAACTCATGGTTTAAAGAGTATACATCAAAGGATTATTTGTTTGTTCTACACAAAAGAGAGAGTTGTTCTTCAGTGGATTATAAAGAATTCGAGCCTGAAGCTTTGGTGGATTCCGGAGTGGCTCATAAAATAGTAAACGCCAAGAACAGAAGCTGACTCTCTTCGCCCTCCGCCTCGCGGTGCTTGAGAAAGCGGCGACAGGCCTAGGAAAACTAGCCTTTATTTGGGCAACAGTTGTCCTACTTGGCGGTTTCGCCATTACCCTCGGTAAGACAGACTTCTGGGTCATCACTATAATTCTGTTAATCGAGGGGACTCGGATTTTCAGCAGAAGCCATGAGCTTGAATGGCAACATCAAGCTACGTGGTCAATTGCTGATGTTGGAATCAATAGTTTCCGATTGATAAGATCGAGCTCACACTTGATAATTAAAACTATAAAAGCAATCTTCAAACCCATCGAATTGGTTCGGAAGCAAAGTCGTAGGGGCAGAGAAGTTAATCAGAGTACTCACCTGGGAAGCCACAAAAACTGTGTTCAGAAAAAGATGCCGACTCGAACATGGGTGGCTTCAGATGTTCCTCTGTTTCCATATGCCCAACGGGTTTTCTCAGCAAAACATGTCAGCAGGCTTCTGTATTGGCTCCAGATTGCTTCTGCGTTAACCTGCACAGGTTTATCATTAATGAGGCTCATTAGACATAACTATGGCGAAATAGCGAAAGGAAATACCGATAAGCGGAATCGCAGGTCGGCTCTGAATATTTTTTACGCCTTGGCATTGGCAGAAGCTTTGCTGTTTTTATTGGAGAAAGCTTACTGGGAATGGAATGTGATTTACTATAAAGTGTTGGATGAGGTGAACAAGGAGTGTGAATTGGGGGCTTCGGGTACGGTTTCGATTAAACGATTCTTCTACGATTCGTATTCGAGGTGTGTTAATGGAAGCATTTTTGACGGCCTAAAGATGGATATGGTTTCATTCGCTATTGATCTCTTGGATTCGAATTCGCTGGATGAACAGCTAATCGGAGTTAGGATTTTACACAAATTCTCAATGAATCAGCGGTTTTCGGATGATACACTGCAAAAGATTGGAATAACGTTTCCGGTGATTGAACGGTTAGTTGAGATGTTGAATTGGAAAGATCCACAAGAAGAAGAGATCAGGAAATCAGCGGCAGAGATATTGACGAAGCTAGCAGGCAAAAAACAGAACTCTCTACGGGTTGCTGGAATACCTGGTGCGATGGAATCAATATCGTCTCTGCTCCAGAGCCAAAGGACTCATAGTATAGCTGATGAAATCTCTGCGAAGAGAGTCGTCCACGACCATGAAAATTACAGTTTCTCGACATTCAATCATTTGGGACTTGTCATTCTAAAGAAACTTGCTCGAGACCATGATAATTGCGGAAAGATAGGGAACACGAGAGGACTCTTATAAACACAAACCTGGTATTTATAGAAAGTTCAAAGCCCATAGTAATTTCATATTCAAGTTTTTGCTGCACAAATCTTCTCCTCACACCCAAACCCTTCTCTTCTCTCTCCTCTTCCCCAAACCCCTCTGACCCCGAACCCACCTCTCTCTCAGCTCGCAATCTTCTTTGACATTAGATGCCCAATTTCAAAACCCTTCCTCATCAGACGCCGACGCCGACGCCGACGCTGGTGGAGTGTCTGCTCCTCCGAAGAAGAGCAGTTGGTCCATGCATATTTATATATTTTTCAAATTCGACACTGCAGAAAGAAAGAGAGTTGATCAGAAACTTGTTGCCATGGTTGCGCGTGGTGTTGAGGTTGGTGTTGGTCGATACTTTGCAGTGGTGCTGGCTCGGTGCAGAGGGAGAGAGAGTTGTTTGTCCAAAGCTTCCGATGGTAGCTCTTCGTTTAGATCGGGCACGAAAGGAGAGACAAAGAGGAGATATGTTTAGAGACCTTAGACATCAAAAAATAATTTTGTGAATCTCTTTCATTACAAAAAGTGGGAGAGGGACCCTAGACTAATTTTCCCTTAAATCAATTATTATCATCTTTACTGCTGTCAATTCTTATAACTACCTTTTACTGCCATCACTATCCTTGTCACAACAATTACAAAAAGCACCATTATTTTTAAGGTTACAATTAAATACATGATTTTTTCTTAAAAAAAAATCATCAAAAAAAAATAAAACATATAAAAAAAAGCAAGAAGTAATGTCATGTGATCAAAACAACAAAAACAATCGTACACTCTAAGGGACGATGAAGTAGGGGAGCGTGGGTCCCATTGTTGCCTTTAACCTAAACACAAGAAAACTTTTGGCCAAGCCTGCAAGCCACCACCAGCTAAATTGCTATTCTTGCACATAAAACGGCTTTGACACAATACTTGGTCACATCTAGGATTCTATGACCCACATCAAGATAGAAAAGTCAGAAAAGGTCCAGAGAAAATTAGTCCAAAGAAATTCTGGTCCAGAGAAATTCTCTGAGTTGAAAATGTTGAGAATAGATTGATGACAATTCTGGGAAGGAAATGATCATGAAGGGCAAAGCTTGTGATTCAATATCAGGGGGTGGTTTGGAGATGCAACATGACATAGAGGTTGACGATGGAAAATTCTCAAAACCAGAGAAATTTCCCTTTACAACCTAGAGAAAATTGAGAAATAGATAATTCCTTTCATGATGATTTTAATACCTTTCAGAGAAAATTTCCCTTTAACATGATCATCTAAATACTATAGATGATTTTAATTGAGAAATAGATTGATTGATAGTTTCACATCACAATATGACAATTCCTTTCATTGGGGAAAAATTTTGATAAACTGACAAAACATTTTAACCAGATAATTCCACCCTTGTGCCAAAAAAAACAACCAAAAATTGTGAAAGAAGGAAAAGAATTGAAGAGGAAAGAGAACTCACTCTTGCTCTACCCTCAGAACCAGAGCCAGAAATTTCAACTTCAACGGAGAAGCCTCAAAAAAAACCAAGAAACACACACACAACTTCCATGGCAGCAAGCAGCAATAGTTATGGACCTTGGTCTCTGTTGACGGAGAGCTCGAGCGGCCAAAGCAGAGTCCAGACCGTTGCCTCATTGTCGGAGATCGCGAACCAGAGGCGGACGTCGACGCTGAAGCGGGCGGAGTGTCCACTCCTCCGAAGAAGGCGAACTCTTGGTCGATATTGAGGATCGTTGCCGGTTTCACACTGTGGAGCACGATCGTCTCATTGTCTTGAAGCTTAATTCTATCACCTGTGTCTAATTTGTTGGGTATGGGGGGTGAGGGACCTTAGACTACAAAAGAATATATTGTGGACCTAATCCATTACTAAAAGGTGGATAGGGACCTTAGACCGATTTTCCCCTTTTTTTTTTTTCACTATTTCATTTTGTAATTTTTTTATTAGATTATTGAAGTAGAGTATGATGCAAATAATTGATAGGTTAGTAGGTGCCAACCTAATTAGGATGTATTTGACCTAGCTTAGTTTAGTTTACTTTGTTTAGTGGCATCCTGTCGCTAGTTGTGATGCACTTGACCTATAGTGATGTAATTTCTCTATCATCATCAATAATCTATATCTATTTTATTTAATGATATAAAATTTTGTAATATTTTATTTTGAAATAAAAAATTTTCATTAAATGTTATCTATTTAATTTAATGATTGTAATATTTTGTTTCATTTTGATATATATAAAATTATTCATTTAATTGTTTTGAGAAAAAATTATGTACGCAGCTTAAAACTAAATAAGAAAGTAATATAATTTCATATTTTTTGAGTCATAACTACAAAACATAACATTAACCAAATATCTCATTAACCATAACTAAAATAATGTCATAATTAAAAAAGAAAATTAGTTATAACTAACATACAAAATGACATAACTTGATACCTAGTTATAACTATAAAAAAAATAAATAAATAAATAGCTCTCATGAATCATAATAACTAATATAATGTCATAACAAAAGAATATATAATTTCATACTTTTTTTGGCATAATCAAAAAAACATAAATCATACGTAATTAACTACCACTACATGAAATATAACCAAACATCTCATTAATCTTAACTAAAATATTCTAGTACAATTTTTTTTTTGTATTTTTTATCCCTCATAAATAATCTATATATATTATGTCTATCTTTCACAAAAAAAAAAAAGGCCCGCCTGGCCTACGGCCCTATTTTGAGTGGGTTTGAGCTAACTTTTAATCACGTTGGCCGGTCCAATCCGACCTAAATTTCGGTGGGAGCCCATTAGGCCTGTTAGTGGGCTGGTTCAGCCTGGGCCCCGGTGGACCAGATCAAAATTATATCCCAATTACTAATCTACTTTTTCAGCGGGGCAAGTAAGATTCCTGAAGACCGAGACGAAGGATGCAAGGGTGGAGTAATTGACATGGGCTAAAACAATTATAAATTCAACATTTAGTACTAATTTTAGCAATTGTCCCATTTTCTTCCCCAGATTTAGTAAAATAGCAACCGGATTTGCGAGAGAGATGATGTTTGATAATGATGTTCCTTTGTGTTGATTTGAAGACTGATAATTAATGTTTGACGGTGGTTTTGAGATGTTGCGATGGTGACAACAAGAATGCAGAGTGATGAATGATGTACTGTTTGGTTGTTAGGCCAACTTCAATAGTTACTCAAACTTATCATTAAAATTTAAATTTGGGCAAAAATGGTGTCTTTTTTAGCCTTAACGGTTTCATTAAATAGGTATCAAATTGAGAATATCAAAAATATTTTACCAAATAAAAGATGTCTGGGAGATTTCAGCATTTCACTATTTGGAGTTTGTTGTTTTGTAGAACCAGGCGTCTGGCCAGATATCCCCTCGGTCATTTGATTAGTTGAAAAATTTCCACAACAAAGCATACTCTCAAACAACCGGAATCGATGGATTACACTTGCTAGTCGACCATCCAGACTTCTGCTTGGTCGACCGGTGTGTTGATGACAACCAAAAATGCTCCATTGGAGCGTTGCATATCAGATAGAGTTTTTACTTAAATTTTTATTCAAATTTCGTGAAATAAATATAGATTGTTAAAGAAGCTCTTAGTGATGAATGGTGTTGACTTTTGGGCTAAAAGAATTAAAATATTAAATCACATTACTTTTTATTTTTTTAAAATATTTTTTAAAAAATTATAAAAAAAATTAAAATAATCACTTTTCAAACACTTTCTAAAAAGGAAATGAATTTTCAATAGTGGTAGTATGTTGGTGGAGGGGGCAGTGGAAGGAAATATGAGATGAAGTGATGAGCTATGGGTCAGTGGCCCTTTGGTAGAATTTCTTTTAAGTTAAAATCTAATAATCAAAAAATAAAAGTTAAAAGTATTTATTTTTTAGCTTCTAAATAATTAATTTTTTTAGTTTATTTAAGTTATTTCTTCCTAATAAGTTATAAGTAAAAATTACACTAAATAATTTAATACAAACTTCCAAATTAAAATAAATTATAATCACCTCTTAGGAATCTATACCAAATATGGTAGGCTGCTAATGGCATTTTTTATCCAATTTCGCATAGATGTTCCTAGTGGAGTAAATTAGGAAAAGTTACAAACATCAAGCTCTTAGGAATCTATACCAAATATGGTAGGCTGCTAATGGCATTTTTCATCCGATTTCGGATAGATGTTCCTAGTGGAGTAAATTGGGAAAAGTTACAAACATCAAGGATTAAAGTAGGAAAATAAGTTTGATCCACCTAATAAAACATTAAAATTTAGAAAAAAGAAATGGCGATAAATCCAATCTGAGTATTGTTTTGAGGTGTTGGGTTCGATGGGTAACTTCAATTTTTTTTTTTTTTTTAAAGTAGTCTACTCTTTGTAAAATATTGTTGTGAGAAGTACGTTTTGTTGTTTTAGAGAATATTTTGTTTTCAATTTATCGCATTTAATTTTTTATTTTAACCTATCTATTCAAATCTTTTTTTTTTTTGTTCAATTTTTTGAACCTATCTATTTAAAATTGTATTTACTAATATTTTTTAATCTATTTGTTCAAATTCACCGCACCTTATTTCTCCTATCTATTGAAATTCACCGAGCCTATTTTTTTTATCTGTTGAACCCATCTGTTCAATTTTTTTAATTTGTTCAAATTTTTATTTTTCACTACTATTTCTCTCTTTTCCTAGCTCACTACCGCCCCTCTATCCCTTTCAGATTTACTTTAGTTCCTATTGTTAGGTTTTTATTCTTGACAACTCCGTTTGACAAAACTCATTTAAGTTGTATTTGTTTTTGCACTTTTTATTTCAGTGAGGCTATGAGTGTTTAGATGTGAATCCAACCTGAATTGTGCCTTGCAGAGAAGATTGTAATGTTAATGCTTTCAAGATTGCCACTTCGCTGATTATGACGGGGATCGAGCTTCCCGGTTAGCTCGCGGGGATCGAGGGAGCAGC